GTACTCACCTTTCTGCTCCTGCCACATCTATCACGATGGACACTTCTTCCTCTGGAACTATAAGCCCAATAAACTCTTCCTTTTATAAGAGGCCTTGGTCATGGTGTTTTATCATAACAACAGGAAAGTAACTAGTACATCTGATGAGAAATCAAAAGAATGAGTAGGAAAGGCCAGCACTGGACTACTGGAGCTGGAGGAAACAAAGGCCACAAGATTCAGCCTGAGGGGCAAAAAGTCTCACTTTCTCTCCTGTGTAATAGGAAAATGCAGATCTCCACCCTCTCTAATTCTAGTGGAAAGCAACGTCCACACCCCTAGAAGTGGAAGCAGAGACCTGGCCTGGGTGTAAGTGACTCTCTTTTGCCTCCTCCTTCTCATTTACAGCCCTCTCCTACCCAACTGTTGTCACAGGGCAATTTTTCTTCTAAGTCCTGTGAAATGATTTTGGAATTTGGTGTAGAAAATGAAACTGTCCTTAAAAAAAAAAAAATCATTTTTTTAATGTATAGATATGAGTGCTTGCATATGGGTATGTGCACCACATGTGTGTGGGTGCCCTCAGAGGTCAGAAGAGGGTGTCATATCCCCTGGAGCCGGAGTTACAGATGCTTATGAGTTGCCGTGTAGATGCTGAAAACTGGACTTGGGTCCTCTGCAAGAGCAGCAAATACTCTTAACTACTGAGCCATCTCTCCCAGCCCCATGAAATTGCCTCTTTGTGTGTGTGTGTGTGTGTGTGTGTGTGTGTGTGTGTGTGTGTATGTGTGTGCCCCTAGCCCTGGCTGGCCCATTAAAACATGACAAAGGTACATGGAGTCTCTGCCTTGTATCCTGGGCAAGGTGGCCCTGTTGGTCAGGTTTATGTTACTACAGCAAAATGCCCAAGATGACTAACTTATAAAGAGAAAAGTGTCACTTGGCTCACATTTTGGGAGGCTCAAAATGCAAGATCAGGTGACCCATTGGTATACTCCCTGGTGAAAGAAAGGATGTGCCTCAGTATGGTGGAAGTATGCATAGGAGCAACCTATTCAGTCTCCAAATGGGACAGAGAAGCACACCTCCAATGACATGTAGGCTTCCCACTGGACCCCTCCTCTTAAAAATCCACTGCACCTTTCAATACTGCCACCCTGGAGCTATGTCTTTATAGGTGGCTTTTGGTGGCCACTAGAATCCTGGCCAATGGAATAGTAAGTGCTAGAGCTGACCCAGGATGTGAGATTTGGGTCTGCTTCTGGTTCAGAGGCTGACTCCCTCCAGCTCAATGGTTCTGGTCATCATCCTGAGGTATGAACGAGGGATAGCCATCAAGCTTCTGGGAAGAACAGAACTACATAAACTCTGCTGCCCTCAGGGGTCCCCTGAGGCAGAAGTCACTAACTGTGCAGTACCTTGACCCATCCCGCCTGCCTCTTCTAGGAGCAATCATCTCAGGAACTGCCGTCCCCAAATTCTGAGCCCTTTGAAATGTCTGGGGGTGGCAGTCAGAGGCACGAGAAAAATTAGCCCCTGAAAATAGAGTGGCCAATGGCATGAAAGCCTTTTCAGGGACTATTAACAAAGCACTGGAAAGGTCAGCATGTCCCCAGCCTTTGAAGCTGCTCTTGCAGGAAGCAGATTTGAGTTTTCCTAGTAGGAGGAACCACAGGGCCCCCAGGCCAGTGCTGAATGGATCTCTGTCTGCCAGAGTAGAGGAGGGAGCTGCTTCTGCCCATGGAGCCCAGAGAGAATCCTCAGAAGGGTCTTTGGGGGTCTGCAGGATGGGGTGACTTGGCCTGTGGTTTCTGGCCTCTGTTGTTTGGCCCGTGTTACCTGGGGATCAGTGAGGGCTATCCAGGGTCTGTGCTAATGCAGAGCCCCAAACACTCTGATCTTCCCCACTGGGATATGGAGTCCACAGGATGAAGGGATGAGCCACTCAGAGCTTGACTGGCCTCCACCAGGCCAGGCTGAGGTCAGACCAGGGACAGTCCAAAGGGCCACATTCAAGGAGGCACGGGGTCTCTGGGTTACGCAAGCACAAGGGTGACACCTGAGAGTGAGTGCCTCCTTCAACGTGGCCCCCTAGGAAGAACCCTTGTCTCCCCCTCATCCCGGCCCTGGTTCAGTCACCTTCGGTTCTCAGGACCAGGACCTTCTGCCCAGATGGCTGGAGCATGACACACAGTCTTGCTCAGTGGACAGCCCTCATCCTGAGGGGACTCTTCTGTGGCCACAGTAGGCCTCTTGCTCAGAAAGAGCAGTTTCTCAGCTAGATGCTCTAGCTTCTCATGGCAGCATCCAGGAGGCAGCAACGATGTCCATTCCCGCTTTGCCTATCGCCACCTGAAATAATTCTGTGGGCACAAAAAGAGGAAGGGGGCTCTGGCTTTGTACCCAGCTTTCCCCTGTTCAAGGGCAAGGCTCAAGGGAAGACCCTACAAGGAAACTGGAGTCTGTGGGGGAAAGGGCTGTGAATGCACATGAGCATGTGTGTATCTATGGTATGTGTATATGTATATATATGTATCTGCCATGTGAGAGTGGTGATATATGTATGTAACCATGATGTGTGAGTGTGGTATATGTATGTATAGGTAATGGTGATATGTGTGCTATATGTATGTATATATATTTCTGATATATGTGAGGGTACAGCATATATGAATATATGTATCTGTATATATATATATCAGTGGTACATGTGATATATGTGTGGTCTGTGTTTGTGCTGTGGTACACATATGATGTGTGTGTGTGTATCTGTGGTACTTGTGTGATGTATCTGTATGTATCTGCGGTACACGTGTGATGTGTGTATATATCTGTGGTACTTGTATAATGTATCTGTGGTACTTTTGTGATGTATGTGTGCGTATCTGTGGTGTGAATGTGTGGTATGTGTGTGGTGTATGTGTACCTGTGGAACACATGATGATGTCTATCTGCAGAACATATATGATATGTGTATCTGTGGTACATGTGTGATGTGTGTGCATGTATCTATGGTACACAAGTGATGTGTGTGTGTGGTGATTTGAATGAGAATGTCCCCCATATGCACCAAGTATTTGGACACTTGGTCCCCAATTCATGGTGTTGCTTGGGGAGGGTCATGGAACCATTAGGAGGTGTGGCCATGCTGGAGGAAGCACATTACTGGGGGCAGGCTTTGAGAGTTCATGTCCTGCTGTGCATCTCATGTCTGCTTAAGGATGTGAGTGCTTGGCTTTCTGCTCCCACCTTTGCTGCCATGCTCCACCCCCGCCATGATGGACTCTCCCCCCTCTGGAACTGTAAGCCAAATAAACTCTTCTGTAAGTTGTCCTGGTCATGGTGTCTTATCACAGCAACAGAAAAGTGACCAATGCAATGAGTATATGTGGTAGATGTGGTGTGTGTGTGTGTGCATGTGTGTGTGTGTGGTCTGTGTCTGTGTTGTGTGTGGTATGTGTGTGATGTTTGTGTATCTGGTCCATACAGATGTGTGTAGGCTTCCTGAGGTTTGTGGTCTCAATTTACATTTTTAAAAAATCAAGATTAGGGGGCTGGAGAGATGGCTCAGCGGTTAAGAACACTGGTTGTTCTTGCAGAAGACCTGGGTTTGAATCCTAGTACCTACATAGCAGCTAACAACTGTCCAAAACTCCGGTTCCAGGGGATCCGACAGCCTCTTCTGACCTCCACGGGCATTGCATGACACGGGTGCGCTTACCTACATGCCGGCAATACATGCGTACATATAAAATAAAAATAATAAATAATTTTAAAAAAAAATCACAGATTAGATCATTCTCAAAATAAGCTTCTCTTTCTTTTTTTAAGATTAAAAAAATTGTATGTATCGAGTATTTGCCTGCATGCATATATGTGCAACAAGTGTGTACCTGGTTCACACAGAGGCTAGAAAAGAACATCAGCTCTCCTAGAACTGGAGTTATAGATGGATGTTAGTCACCATTTGGGTGTTGGAAACCAAATTCAGGCATCTGCAAGAACAGCCAATGCTCTGAACCACTATGCCATCTCTTCAACCCTGGACTCCATTTCTTATTAACATTTTTTTCATCTTTCTAGATTATGACTAAATTATTTTTTCATTACCATCAAAACAAAAATTATGAGTACCCATTTTTTTGTCTGTCTGTATGTGTGGTGTGTGTCCCATGTAGGCACATGTGTACGTGCAGGTGCATATGCTTGTGGAGGCCTGAGGTTGAGATCAGGTGTCTTCCTTCATCACACTCCACCTCATATTTGAGGCAGAGTCTCTCGATGAACCTGGAGCTAACCCTCTGACATCCAGCTTGTTTGGGGGATTCCCCTGTCTCTGCTTCCTGAGTGCTAGGATCACAAGTGTGCTGCCACCCCCACCCAGCTTCAATGTGGGTTCTGCAGATCTGAACTGTCTCCATGGTTGCCTGGGAAGCACTTTAGCCACTGAACCACCCCCATAGCCCCCAGGTATTTAGTTTTAAAAATAAAACTTCTCTGTGCCTGGAGAGTCACGATCTCTATAGAACTGAAATAACCTCACAGCATATTGAGGTATAATTGATGTGTAATAAATGGCCTGTATTTAAAGTGGTTTATTTGGTGGGTTTGACAGACATGCACTCATGAAGCCATCACTGTAATCAAGATAACTTTCCATTAGGCCAAAGTAGGAGATTCTTTTATTCAAGCATTTGGTGATGGATTACACATTTAAGGTATAAGTATTTCTTACTTTTTTTTTTCATTGTGATAAAATACCTGAAAGAAGTGACTTAAGGGAGCAAGGACTGATTCTGCTCCTGGTCTGAGGGGTACGGTACAGTCACTATCAGATGGGGAAGGCATTGTGCAGGAATATGCTCACATCTGGAAAGATCAGGCAGCAGAGAGAAAGCAAGTAGAAAGTAGAAAGTAGGGCCAGGCTATAACCCTCAAGGCCTGCTTTCACTGATCCGCTTCCTCCAATGAGGATCCACCTCCTAAAGGTCCCACAACTTCCCCAAACAGACCCCCAGGTGGAGACCAAGTGTCCAGACACAGGAGCCTGTCGGGGAGGACATGGGACGGGGGATGACAACGAGACTTCTTCACAGCAGCAGCAGCCAACCACGACAATGTCTACATCTCTAGTCAAATGCTACAAGTCAAGCCAGGTAAGCCAGGTAATACTCATGTAGACCTCACTGGCCTCTGCTCACCTTCCTCCTGCAGGATCTGAGTTCCAGAGAGAGGAAGTGAGGAGCCTGTCAAAGCCGGAGTTTCTGAGACCAGGGTCCTTAGCCTCCTTAGCTAATGCTAACCCTCATGATCCCTTCCTGCAGTGTCTGTGATGGGGGAGAGATGAGGAGCTGACAGGAGTGACATTTAATCCCGTGTAGAAGAGCTTCATCAATCTCCCAGATGAACAGGTTTGTGTTGATTGTCAGTGACAGATGGCCAACCTGGCTAAACACCTAGAAAATTCTCTGTGGTCCTTGGCTGAACTCATAGATCTTGTGCTTGAATGGATGTCAGGGCCCCAACAAAGTCATCAAAATGTGGGTTGGGCCTTTCTCTTAACTCCATCCTCTCCATGTTGAGCCTCTTCTTATCCTGGTGGCCACAAGATGGCAGCTGCAGCTCCAGGGCTTTGAGGAGGAGAGAGGTAGTTTCCCACAGATCTATTAACTTCTGTAGCTTTTCCATTGGTTCCTATGGAGTCATGTGCCCACCTCAACCCAATTACAGTGGTGATGGATCCTTGCTGCCTGGATGGAGCCCTGCCTGAACCCCTTCTTTGAGAGTTGGGCATGAGGAAGGTGGAGATAGATCCTTAGAGGGGAATTGGATACTATTCTAGGAAAAAATCCCTGTCATAATAACATGAGGTTGGATCTCAACCTGCCTTTTTCAGGGGCACCCCAGGTCTTAGGGAGTCACCAGTATGTTTGTGCAAGGGATCACCTGATTTCTTTCCCTCTCCCTCTCCCTCTCTGTGACATATGTGTGTATATGTGTGCAGGTGTGCATTGCATGTGCATGTAAAGGCCAGAAGCCTCAGTCACTCGCCACCTTATTTTTTGAGACAGGGTCTCTCCCTGAAACTGAAGTTTACTGAGGACAGTAACTGGCTTGCCAGAAAACTCAAGGGATCCTCCTGTCTCTCCTTCCCCAGAACTGGGATTACAGGCATGTAATACCCAGCTTATATGTGGGTGCTGGCGATCACACTCAGATCCTCATGCTCACTTAGCAAGCACTCACTTTAAAAACTGAACCATTTCCCATCCTTGTCTACATTCTTTACCATTTATAAAAACCTTTTCACAAACTGGGCATGGTGGTGCACACCTTTAATCCCAGCATTTGGGAGGTAGAGGCAGGCGGATCCCTGTGAGTTCAAAGCCAGCCTGGTCTACATAGAGAGTTCCAGGATAGCTGAGGAGACCCTGTCTACAGGGAGACCCTGTCTCAAAAAGACCAAAAAAAAAACAACAACAACAACAACAAAAAACACCTTTTCCCTCTAGGATGGGACCCAAGGGCAACTTTTTTTCCTATTTAATTAAATCAATGACTTGGTACTCCAAGGCTCTGAGATGTGGTGAAGCATTAGTTTCATAGGGGCACAAGAGGTTTTAATAGACTGGACTTGTGTTGTAAATTAAACAATGTTAAATTCCTTAGTAATCCTAGCAGAAAAAGAAAAAAGTAAAAGAAGGCGGGTAGGGGGGTGAGCTCTTTCATTTTCAAATTACTACCAGTAGAATTTTAATAATTATTTATATACTTAACTATGAGTCCCTGTCTACCTGACAGGTCTGTCAGGAATAGCAATAATTTAAAACAGATTGGAGTGTGGGGAAGCTCCCTCTCCCCTTTCTAAAATCAGTAGAGCCTGGAATTCACACGAGGGAGTGTTCCCTGGGAAAAGGCTACTACTTGGAGGGTGCTGTGTAGGGCTCCCTACTGCTGGTGTGGTGGGTGATGCATTTTTCTGGGGACAGTGGAAGTACAGACAGTCCCCGCTGATCCTGATAATGGAGCGCTTGCTAAGTGTGATTACTAAAATGTAGTGGCTGCTGTTTCTTCTATTTTTAATTCACTGGCCCTGTCTGCTGAGTGTTAGATGGAGTTTTGTTCTGGGCTCCAAGGTGACTCTGTTCTCTGTCTGCTGGTGTGACAGTCCCGAAGGTGACCAAGAGTGATTGTCAGGGGTCATGGCAAATTCCCAGGTTCTCCAGCAAGGGGAAGAAGAGTAACCCTGAATGGCTGGGTGAATATTGGGTTATACAGAAATGTATTTGGGGAGGCTCTGCTGACAGAGGAGGAAGAGAATAAATCAAAGCTCAAAGCTTCTAGAATGTTCCTCAGTTGTCTCTGAGAGTGAGCATTATTTGTGGACATTACCAAGGTCCCATTCACATCTCTGAGATGGTCATCTAGCTGTCCATGCCTGAGACTCCCCTCTGCCACTTGGCCAACCAGCAACTGGGAAGCACTGACTTTACCACAGCCCAGAAATACACAGCCAATGGCTCTGGGTGGGTAGCCTGTAAATATTCCAGTTCCCAACATCTTCCGTTAGCCTGTTTTTATTATTATTATTATTATTATTATTATTATTATTGAAATGGTGTTTGTTTGTTTGTTTTGTCTTTTTGAGACAGGGTCTCCCTGTAGCCCCAGCTGTCCTGGATTTACTATGGAGACCAGGCTGGCCTCTAACTCACAGAGATCCACCTGCCTCTGCCTCCGAGTGCTGGGATTAAAGGCGTGCACCACCACGCCTGGCTTGAAGTGGTTTTTAAACTTATAAAAAATTGCATCTGGACATGGTGGTGCATGCCTGTAACTCCAGCACTCTGGAGGTTGAGGCAGAAGGATCACTGAGAGTTCAAGGTAGCCTGGACTACATAATGACTGAGTTCTATGTCAACCTGGGCTATAGACTGTGAGACCGTATATAAATAATAAATAAATAAATAATAAATAAATACATGAATAAGCAAGGCATTGCTGAGATGCCCATCTGCAGTTCTGTTGCCTCCCACAGTGTTGAAATCTTACACAAGTTCAGCTCAAAGTTCAGAACCTGGCACTGGAATCTACTGACTGAACTACAGACCTTGTTCTCATTTCCCAAGTTTTACTGTACATGTCCCTTCCCTGGCCCAGGATCCAATCCTGGACCCCACGTGGTTTTGGTTTTTTTTTTTTTTTTTTTTTTTTGAGACAGGGTCTCCTTGTAGCCCCAGCTGTCCTGGAACTCACTATGTAGACCAGGCTGGCCTCGAACTCACAAAGATCTGCCTGCTTCTGCCTCCCAAGTGCTGGGATTAAAGGTGTGCACCGTCATGCTCCGCCACACATGTATTTTGAAGTGTCTTTTAATCTCCTGCTTGTGCTGTTTCTTAGTACTCTGTGACCTAACGCTTTTGAAGCAACTCCTCAGCACTTTTGGGACTGGACCTCCATTGACCTGTCTGCTGTTTCTTATGTTCCAGTGAGGTCAAGTGTGTGTGGCTGGACTGGGCAGAGGTGACACTCATCCATCGTGGACACTATACTGGCACAGATGACATCAGCCTCACTACTCTGGATATTGACCTTGATCTTGGCCAAGGTAGTGCCTGCCAATTTTCTCCTTTGTAAGGTTCATATCCTCTCCTCAGTAGGGAATAACTTCCTTGAGGGAGATATTTTGAGATTGAGAATCTCCTGTCCTTGCTTGGGCCTAGTGTCTGTTGCTAGTGTGGTGTTTGCCAGGTAGCATTTTTGCATTTCCTTCATTAATTTATTTGGAATTTATCAATGTGTTGTCATGTTGGGAACAACAGCAGCAACATGAAGGTTCAGGAGTAGAAGTATTCACCCAACAGGAGCAGACAGAGGTGATTTATTAAGAAAATACACTTCAAGGACGGGCAGAGACTCAGAGAATGTGCCTTAGGAGTACATCACCCTGGGAGGGAGTGGCAGGCCTTTCACACACTTAAGGGCAGTAACTTGGCCATATGTGGGGGAGCCATATCTGGATAAGTGGGTGTTCTAGTTTGCCTCAATTGCTGTGACAAAACACTGACCAATACCGACTTGGGGAGGAAAGGGTTTATTCGGCTTACATCTCTGAGGTCACAGTTCATCAGGGAGCCCAAGGAACTCAGGACAGGAACCTGAAGGCAGGAGCTGGAGCATAGGCTATGGAGGAACGCTGCTTACTGGCTTGCCCCTGGCCCATGCTCAACCTTTCTTAAACAATACAGGACCACCTTCCCAGGGATGACACAACCCACCATGGGCTGGGCTGTCCCACATCCCTCAACAATCAAGAAAATGCCCCACAGACATGGCCACAGGCTAGTCAAATGAGGCAGTTCCCCAATTGAGGCTCCCTCAACCCAGGTGTGTCAAGTTGACAACTAAAGCTATCCAGCACAGTGGGCATCTCATTGTCAAGCAGTAAATCTTAGCAGTAGCTGTCTTTCTCAAACTGACATTTTGGGTAGGCACAATGGGTCATTAGGAGTTATGTTTTGAGTGTGTAAGATGTCACAAATCATGAGATCAGGCTCCAGTCAGGCTCTGATTGTTAAAGTGTGGGAGGTTTCTCCTTGATTTTGGCCTCTATATCGCTCTATCCCCTGATGGGTCAGCAAGGTCACACTGTTGACAAGGGAGACAGACCATCTTCTGGGGATGCCTCAGAACTGAACAGGGGCCTGGAACTCCAGGTGGTATTGCTGGTCATTGTGGAATTGTGTGACCATAAGGTAGAGTACTCATTAGAGGCATCCTGGGATGGGGGCAGTGACTATTGCAGGTCAAAGGCTGGTCTGTGACATCACTTGGAGGTGGGCAGTGGGAGATGGGTACAGATGTGGACCATAATGGCTGACACCCCTGGACAACCCCATCTGAGCTCAGTGGCCTGTAGTCTGGAGCTTAGCAATGGTATCATAGGATAAAGTAAGCAGAGCCTAAAAGAATTATGGTGGTGAGAGGAACCGGGAGAGACTCTGACCAGGAAACCATGGCCCTTCCATGAGAGCCTGCCCTTGGAAGCGCTCTCTACTCTGTTCTGGTAAATACTTTTTTTTTTTTTTTTTTGACAGGGGCAGGGGCAGGGGCAGGGGCAGAAGGACATAGCAAATTCCAGGTCAGCCAGGGCTACACAGTAAGACCTTGTCTCAAAAAATTTTTATTTATTTATTTATTATTGTATGTGTGTATGATGTGTGTTTTTGAGTGCTATAGCAAGCCTAAAGAGGTCAGAGAACAATTTACAGGAGTTGGTTCTCTCCTTCTACCATGTGAGCCTGGGGAATTGAACTCAGGTTGTCAGGCTTGGTGGCAAGCACCTTCACCTCCTGAGTCCTCCCACTAGTGCTGGTGAATACTTTACTTTCACCCCCTCACTTCATGGCCATGATTCCCAGCATGACATTTATGATGAAATCTATTTTCATTCATTAAATCCATGTAGGTATTTATTTGTGTACTTATTACTTTTATTAATTGGAATTCATATTCAGGAAGAGCTGTCCCTTGGACTGCTTCAGGGTTCTGCACTGCCCAGAGTTCCCTTGTGGGTTGGCTTACCTGCCCACTGGCAGCTAATTTGACATGAAGTACCATCACAGGCATCCTTCCCCTCCCTCCCTCCCTCCCTCCCTGCTTCTCTCCCTGCCTCCTTTCCTCCTTCCCTCCTTCCCTTCTCACATTTCCTGGAAGTCAGTTGGCCCTGTTCCTCCACATAGTATTTCTGGGAGAGGCCACCTAGACACCTCACCCTGTTGTAGTCAGCTGAACAGCATCACAGGAAAACTAAGAACTGAGGCTGCATCTAAAGCCAGAAGAAACAGTCTCCCCACTTGCTCCCTGACAGCCTACTCTTTTCTTAAAAAAAAAAAAAATCTGATGAGTGAATTCCCCAGTTCCCTGTATTTTCCCTAAATAATTGCAAACTGGACTTTCTGGAACACACCAACAGACTGTCCCAAAGGAACAGGACTATTTTTACACAGAAGAATTATATCATAAATTCAATTTCCTATGGCTGGCCTGAGATTCTCAGACAAGAAACCTGGGCTGTTTTCTAGAAGGGCTGGGGGAGCCCAAGAGAGGCAAATGACCTTGTGAAGAGCTTAGGCACACTCCAGTTTGGGGCAGTGGAGTGATTGACTAAGCAAAGGCTTTGGAATTATTGGCGTCCCATGAGCGTGGCACCAGGCTAGCAGGTCAGGGACTTGAACCCACTGGAGACATCTAGTTTCTCATGTCCACTGTCCACTGGTGTGTTTGTCCTGGAATTCTAGGAACCTTGGCTGGGACATTTCTCAGTGTCATTTGGCCTGGCTCTTTAATGCAGATTAAGTCACTAGAAAGTCCTCCTTTCCCCCACGGACAAGGTCAATAGGGGTTGGTGACAGGGTGACTGGGAAGGATGAAGGTCAGGCATATTAGATAGGGGCTGAGGTTGGGGATAAACAGAAGTGAACCCAGACCTCCCACTGAGCCTTTTGCCAAATTTCAAATTTGTCTAGCCTACTCAACTAAAAATACTCTGTTTTATGGGGTTTGTTTTTAGTTTTTTAAAAATATTTTATTTATTCTTCTTCTTTTATGTGTATGTATATAAAGTGCACCCATGTCATACAATGTCTATGGAGGTCAGAAGAGGGTGTTGGATCCCCTGGAATTAGAGTTATAGACAGTTGTTATCTACCATGTGGGTGCTGGGAACTGAACCCAGGTCCTCTTCAAGAGCAGCCAGTGCTCTTAACCATTGAGCCTTCTCTCCAGTCCTTGATGC